CCAAACCTAGTACTGAGTACATATGCATGCTTGTACTTTTCAGAGGTCCGATATTGTTCTATGTACAATCCTTGTTTTATTGATTGCATGTAATAATCTACTTTTTTGAGGTTGTGGATTTGGGGTTCTTGGGGTTTTCATGAGCTGTAAGCCATAATCATCACAATTATGACAAATCATGGCTTGAATTATCTTGCTTTGCATGTAATGAGTCTATCTCATATATTAGTTTCACCTTTTAAGTTGCATTAGTGAAATAAATGAACTTTGCACGATATTCTAATTATTCGAGTTTCACCTGTATAAGGTTTTCAGAAGATCTTCATCTAGAATTTTCTTATACTTTATTGTCAATTATATTCAACTTTCTCATCTCTCTCAGTAATTGTGCAGATACTTTCCTCTCTCTCCTTATACATGCCATACAGAATCATCAGAAGAAATCTAATTCTCAAACCTTGTTTCCCCATTTTCAAAAACTGTTCCTATAGCCTTCAAACTGACAGTAACATTTCACACAGACATACTAAAAAAAAAAAAAAAACATGGCTGTTGGAGGATTACCTTTTCACACAAATGTTCTACAAAGAAATTGTCAATCCAGGCTTATCATTTCATTTTTCAAGCTTGCAGAAATTAGTGTTTATAGATATGGGGTAGTTTCCCATTACAACTGTAATCAATGCAATAAGAATCATCTTGTGTTTCTGAAAGTCTTATAATTTTTTTTTTTTAAATGATAAATCTCTAGAGGGTTGGGGCAACCACTGACTGTTTAAAAGTGTCCAGGAGTTTGACAAAAAGATCTACCATCCCTTCACCACAAGAATATGTTACAAATCACTGGACTTTATGTTGAATAACAACATAACCGTATAAGACAATCCAGCCAGTGGCAAATGACAATGGTGACACCACTTCCTAATTTGAAACCAAGTGGGGTGTATTGCAGTTGCATTGGGGCCTGGGTATCAGGGTTCTGGAGATCTCTTATAAACTAGCTTGCCCAACCTAAAAGATAGTGTATATAATCACAGGCAAACTGAAGGAAATACACCTTTACAGTTCTCTCATACCTTAACATAAGTAAGGTTTTTAAATTCAACTGTCCTGTTTTTGTCATTTTCATTTATTCTTATTTCTCACAATCAAAAATGTTTTCAGTTTGCCTGCTTTTAGATGCAGAAACAGCAATTTGTTTTTCTTGCTTACCTACAACATAACCTTCCCGTTGAGAGCACTATATTTAATTCTTAAGATATATCTCCTTATTTATGATAATATGTTTCAGTTAAGAAGTCAATAAGACTAAAAGTGTCCTTATTATAGTTGAAGATCAGATTGCCTACCCTTTGTTGTCTGGAAGGATTGCAGCAACAATATGCATGTTTGTTTAGTCTAATCTTTAATATTTATGTACTGTACATCTGTGGTCTGCCTGGTCACTGGAGAAACAACAGTGACTGGCTGAAAAATGGCAAAATTATCCCTAGCTATTTGTATGTTGGTACAGTAAAAGCAGATTGGCACTACAGACCTGCCTTTACTGTACTGACCGGAGTATTTTTTGAGACTACAGCCAAAGACATGGATGAATTCACTGTGACATTACGGCACTGTGACATCATACATTATTTGTTTGTGAAAATGTGCATATGCCACAAGTCTTTTTGAACTTTCAACAATAACAAGCCCTGGGTTATAGCAAAAAAAAAAAAAAAGGCTCAGGCAGGCTAGGAGGCAGAATACAGAAATGGGGACAGAATTATATACAACTAGGCCAGAAACATGCTGACAAAAGAGATCAGAGCAGGTGCTACACTGACAAACTGAAAACTATGGGGTCTATTCACGAAGCTGCCAAAGGATCTGGCCGTAGCTTCGGCCGATCCTTCGGCTAGCTTCAGCCCCAGGACCCCTTCGGTTCAGTAGAACCGAAGGGGTGCTGTATGGGCTATTCATAATAGTCCGTACAGCTCCCGATCATGGCTGAGCGGCTCAGCCGAGACGAACGCATATGCATGAGCCGTGCTGAAAGCCGAAGCTGCTTCTGACAGCTGGGCGGAGCCAGCCGTAATCTTACGGCTGGCTGCGGCCACTTTCAGAGAGATCAGCGTCCCTGGTTAACTGCTAACCAGGGACACTGATCTCCAAACAGCAAACTCTCCCTGGCGCCACGGGAGTCTCCTGCTCCCGGCCGCCAAGGAGAGAAAGAGTGCTGTGTCTTTTTTTCTTTATTCTGACACGATCGATGTCAAAATAGAAAAAAGAAGAAGATTTTTCCCATTGAAAAGCATTGGGACATTACTATTGGCTATTTCAATTTGCAATAGCCAATAGTAAACTAGCATTGTACCCGCCCTCTGCTGCAGTTCCCCATCAGGTCCATCAGCAGAAGGCGGGAACAATGCTAGTTTACTATTCACTTCAGGCTTGTACGGCAGAAATCAGCCTTACATCGGCTTGCTGTCGCTGGCTTCGGGTCGGCCGAACATGCAGCATGTTCGGCCGACCCGAAGCAAGCCGATGTACGGCTGATTTCAGCCGATGTACGGCTGAAATTAGCCGTACCAGCCTGAAGTGAATAGCCGAACAGTGTTCGGCTCACTTCACTTCAGATAGGTCATTCACTCTGCTGCCCTCGGCAGCTTCGGGAATAGACCCCTATGTTTTCTGCTAATGACCCAGTGTCAGTATTAAGAGAAAGGCAGGGCATTATCAGCTATGAAAACCATCCCCCACACTGCAGAGAACTATTACCTGGCCAACAACCTGAATGTGTTTTTGATAACTTCACATTTACATTGTCCACCAACTCCTGCTCAGACATTACCTGGGTTATTCACAAAGCTGCCAAAGGCAGCCGAGTGAATAACCCAGTCGAAGTGAAGTGAGCAACGTTAGGCTATTCACTCCAGCTCAGTACGGCTGCACTTTGGTCATGTTCTGCATACTTGGCTGAGCCGAAGTGCAGAAGGACTTCGACATCTGGATAGGCTGAGCCGAAGCTCCGGCAGCTCACTCGCTGCCGTTCGCCCCTATTGACATAGAGGCCGAACGGCAGTGAGTGAATAGCTGAATGCCGCCGAGCGGCATTCGGCTATTCTGCTCAGTACCTCTGTGATACCAAGCAGAATAGAAGATAGTAAAAAAAAGTAGAAAAAAAAGTTACATTTAAAAAAATATATAAATAAATACTAAAATGAAAAATAGATTGTTTTTTTAAAAGAATTTAAAAAAACAAAACAAAATGGGCAGAGCTAGCAGTGACAGCTAGCTCCACCCAACGGTTTCCTATTGTCTGGCACCTGCAAGAGTCTTCTTCTGATGTCACGGCCAGCTCCGCCCAGTTGTTATTGTTCGCCCCGCTTCAGGCTGTCTCTTCGGCTCAGTCAAGCCGAAGCATATGCCTTTGGCTCGGCTGAGCCGCTCAGCCGCCTTCGGCTGCTGTACGGGCTATAGTGAGTATATAGTGCCTTCTCTCCCACTGTTTCCTCTCCAATAATGTAAAGAGGTTATGCTTCAGATCTTCCAGAGACAAAAGATAATTAAGGCACTGGGCCCAGATTGAATAACACACTCCTGTCTGAAGGTCTGTGCTCATCAGCTTCCACTAATCCTCACACAGACCTTCAACAGATCAGTGGAGCAGCATGAAGTTCCCTCATGCATCAAACACTCCACAATCATCACTGCTCCTAAGAAATCCACCATCACAGGACTAAATGACTACTGGCCTGTTGCAGTAAAGAAGTCCTTTGAGAGAGAGGTGACCTGAAAGACATCACAAGCCCCCTGCTGGACCCCCTGCAATTCACCTATAGAGAAAGCAGGTCAGCGGAAGATGCTGTCAACGTGGGGCTGCACAACATTCTGCAACATTTTGACTCCCCAGGGATGCAGAAAATCATTCTGTTTGTAGACTTCACCTCAGCGGTTAATACTTTTATTCCAGAAATCTTCCATTCCAAACACACCCAGCTCACTGTGCCCATCTCTATCTGCCAGTGGATTACCAACTTCCTGACAGACAGGAAGCAGCAGATGAGGCTTTGAAAAATCATACCAGAACAGTCAGTACTGGTGCTCCCAGAGGATTTGTGATCTCCCCACTATACTTTTTCCCTCTTTGACTGCACCTCGGGAAATTCATTAAAATATGTGGATGGCACAACTGTCTTGCCACAATCAGTCTAATTGGAGATTAGGATGAGAAACCATACAGGCATGAAGTATGCTGGCCCGGTTGTGTAGGGATCACTGTCATTGAGATCAAGGGGCACCAGCAACAGTATATATATCAAAAGTAAGGGGTCTATTCACTAAGCTGCCATAGGCAGCCGAGTGAAAGACCAGCCTGAAGTGAAGTGAGCCGAACGCTGTTCGGCTATTCACTTCAGGCAGGTACGGCTGATTTCAGGTATGGCTTGGCTCCGCCCAGCTGCCAGAAGCAGGCTGTCGGCCGGCCAATGGCCAGCCGCTCGGGCAGCTTCGGCTTTCAGCACGGCTCAGCCGAGCCGAGGCATATTGTGAATAGCCCGTACAGCAGCCCTTCGGGTTCTACTGAACCGAAGGGGTCCTAGGGGCCGAAGCTAGCCGAAGGATTGGCCAAAGCTATGGCTAGATCCTTCGGCTGCTTCGTGAATAGACCCCCAAGTTGTACAAAGCTCTACATCCACAATGTAGTCCCGGTTTGTATAATTCCTGGTTCTGATTTATTATAAAAGAGAACAGGAGTTCTCCTGCATAAAAATCCTTAGCATGGTTTATTTGTACTAATCTCATCATGTGATGTAAAAATAATGTTATATGTACCTTGTTAAAGTCAAGGTCAATCACACAATCAATATCCACCTGTGCATTCTAGCAATAAATCCATCCATAACTCAGTTTCAAAATATCTGTAGTATGGAAACAGGCCAGAAAGGACTTAGCCACCTTTATGTATGATTATAGATACAAAGAATACAAAGAATAGTTTTTACATTTGTTCTACATACCGTAACCTGCTGTAGGAAGACCCAAATGTTTCATTCTGTTCTTAACCAGTTCTGCTAGTTCTTGTCTTTCTGACCTTCTGCACAAAGTCATTCTTTGTTGACTTATTCTCTCTGCTATTTTGCTGGAATGTCTGGGAACCTTTCTGCTTAGTCTTCTGGCCCACTGCATACTCTTCCTTCGTAGTAAGGGATGATCTGACTGGTCACTGGATGTGGAATTTCGATGATTGTTACGGTTGGTTGCCATTTCTTTGGTTTCTTTTGTGTCTTCCCAATCTTCCACACTAATAGATATCTGTGACTTTATAAGAAGCAAATACAATTTTGTTTATTTTAATAAACTACATCTGAAAAGTAATTTTCTTGTTATTCTACACATATGCCATGAAGAAAGAAAGAGATCGTCGAACTCCTTCTGCACTTCGGGTCAGCCGAACATGCCGAGCATATTCGGCCGACCCGAAGCCACTCGAAGTACGGCTGATTTCAGCCGATATATGGCTGGAATCAGCCGTACCAGCCTGAAGTGAATAGCCAAACAGCGTTCGGTTCACTTCGCTTGTGGTTGGTTAGTCACTCGGCTGCCTACGGCAGCTTAGTGAATAGACCCCACAGGGTTATTAAAATTCCGGCATCATACACACAAACACATACAACACACACTATATAGGTTAAACCTGATGGACCTGTATCTTTATTCAACCTCACCTACTATGTAACTGGCAGAAAAATATCCACATCAGGGGAATCCCTAAAACCATAGCTAACCGCTGCATTATTCTTGCCTCAACTTCCATCTTTAACATCTTACAGGGAAAGCAACCAGATTTGATAACATACACTTGAAAGAACTCACTGGGACTTAGGAACTCTGACCCCTGATGTCTGCATGATATAATTTGTCATGTGCATTATTTTTGTATTATTGGTATTTACATAGCACTGAAGAGCTTACAATCTAAGGTCCCTATCTTACATGCAACATACCGGGCCAATTTAGACAGGAGCCAATTAACCTACCAGCATGTCTTTGCAGTGTTGGAGGAAACCCATGCAAGCACAGGGAGAACATGCAAACACCTTGTTTCAAATCCCTGGCTGGGATTTGAACTAGGGACCCCAGTGCTACAAGGCAGAAGCGCTAACCACTACGCCACTCTGCATTACTACTGATGTTGTCTTTTTGCTGAATATATTAAGACAGACTCTCCTTCATAAAGCCCTTACAGAAGTACTTCAGGTATGTAAAAAGTTTACCCTTGCAGTGGGGCTACCCCCACACTGCAACGGTTAACTGGTCAGAGTCTAGAAGTCATACTCACTTGATCCTCAGTCCTGCAGCAGTGAGTGCTCACCTCTCCCCCGCCCCTCCTACGCTCCAGCTGTGGTATGTCCGTCTGCATCTAATGACTGTGAATAAACTTCATTAGACATGATGGTGTCAGTGGGGCCTAAATCACTGGAGCCCAGGGGAGAAGAGGCTGTGGTGACTGATCTAGCAGCCAGGTGGTATCAAGGATCAGGTTAGTATATATATTTTTATTTGAGCCTCTAGAGGAAAACGAGCAGGTAATCCTTGTAGTGCAGGGGTAGCTCCACTGCAAGGGTTACCTTTTTACATTCCTGGAGTTAAAACGCATGTTTTCGAATGTACAAAAACGCGCATAAACACTTCACAATACGCCTGAAAAACGCCTTTACAAAACGCGCATACATAAAACGCCAAGGTGTGAACCCAGCCTAAACCTCTTTTTGAGGTAGATATTCAAATATATCTAGTGACATCCCTTTCTGCTTGCTACTTTCTACTATTACATGCATTGAGGAATGACAAGTTGGCCACATTTATGTTATTGGGAGACCTTCCAAATTTCCTGGGATCACTGTAACTTCCTCAGGTGTCATTGCGAGACTGGCCTCTGAAACCCATCTTTCCAGATCTTTCCCCACAAGCTAGGTGATTTACAGTGGAACCTTGCAAGCCTCATAATTTGGCAGTTTTTAAACTTTCTACCAACGTGCCTTCACTGTTTGCAGTGATAATACCTGGATCACTTGTTCTTTAGTACTTCTATTACCCACAGTACTTGGTGGTCAGCAAGGCGGGAGTGGAGACAGTTCTACCCTTTATGACGTTACCCTCCCACCTCACATGCTTCTGACTATTTAGTCAGTTTAATTTTCATGTTGTTTTTATTGCTAGTTGTGTTGTTGCTGTATTGAACATTTTACTTTACAGGCTTATCACTTATGTCTAGCTGCGGCTAAAGCCGAGTAAGGCAGAAGTGCATCAGCGGTTGTTCTTTGTATAGATGCATGTGGAATAAAGTTTGAATTCCTTTGGAAGATCATCGTGTCCTGGTTCTACAGTTTTTGAGCCTATCACTCCAGAAGAGAGTCCTCTGTGCACAGAGTGTGGATTGTGGGGACGCATCATAGGGGTGAGCTGTGCACTGTGTTTTTAGTTCATCACTCATGTCCATTGTTTTGTTAAATTATGTCCTTCCTACTATTTCTGTACTTGCTCTTGAATGCTGAGAAGGATACTACAGGTAGGCCATGTCTCTCTAGGGATACCCTCTCTAAACTCAGATCTCTCATACATAGGCTGAAGTCCCGGCTGCGGTGCTCTCAGTATATAGCGAGCTGTAGCTTCAGAAGCACTTCCTGTTGGCAGCCTGGAAAACCTGGCTGCCCTTCTCTCCCTCCCCTTGCCATCCAGTTTACAGATGATCAAGGCTAGGGAAATGGGGACCAGTTGGACCGCCATTTCCCAGGACATGCAGCCGAGCTCACATACATAGGACACAGCGTGCAACTCCCTGCAAGAATACATTACTCTCCACTGTACAGGAGGACCAGATGACTGGCTGTACCCCCTCGATGGTTACTAAGGCCAGGCCCTCTTCTTTCTTTTCGGGCAACCCCCCCAAGTGGCAGAACACCAGGGCCCAGCTGCATATGCAAACGCTGTGACCCTGGACGTTCCGCCAGTGGTGACAAGGCTACCATAAGATTTGCAGTCTGTGCTTAGCATTTTCAGCTGAAGCCAGATAATGCTGGAAAGGGAAACTGTCATGAACACCAGTCATTTTTTCAAATATAAAAAGCCAAAAAGCAAATACAAGGCATATGCAATTTTATAATTACTTAATATTCAAGGGCTAACTGGTCATTTTGGTCTGGTGCCCAGAATACATAAGATATACTAACTTGATCCACTGTTCTGCAGCAGTGGGTGCTCACCTCTCTCCCCCTTTGCTCCAGCTGTTGTATGTCCCTTGGCATCCTCATGTATAATGCAGATGAATTGCCCTCCATTAGACGTGATGGTCAGCAGGGCTTAGGTCACTGGAGCATGGGGAAGAAGTGGCTGCGGGTACCGATCTAGCAGTCACACAAGACCGCGGATCCTAATTGAGCCCCTAGACCAAAATGAACACTTAACTCTTGCAGGGCTAGGGTAGCGCCACTGCAAGGGTTAATTGTTTAGATTCCTTAAGTTTCTCTTTAAGGTGTACATACACTTTAAACAGGATATGCAGTTATAATTTGATATTCTATCAGCTTCTGATTTATGATACATAATGCACTGCAGTGCATTACAAAATGGCAATTATTTAATAGTGCAACTACTTAAACTAAGAATCTATTGGTCAGACTGACCTAAACTGATGAAAGGTGAATTTCTTGTTAATAGGAATTACAAATATAATTTCACATTATGATAAAAGTCAACATATTGTGTATGATTGTGTACTCAGAGTCATTAATAGATTATTAATAAATATATGTCATAAGAAAACAAAAAAAACCAAACATGAATACAGACAGCAATAAAAACCTAATAACCTTTACCCAAACTATCTGAAACTATACTAAATAATGAAAAAAAGGCAGTAAGATTTCTACTTAAAAACATGTATATTAGGAAAATAAATATTTACTGCTATAACAACTGTCTTTTTTCCCCTGTAATACTTTAGGATTGGGATAGCTACCTTTACTTTATAAACAAACTTATTATAATCTTTATTCATACAGGCTATTATCTCATTCCAAAAACATATCTAGCTCATGAAAATAAAATGGTCTATCAAAAACAAAAATGGTTACGCTTTGCTTATTACAATATTTGTGGCTGACTTGAAAATGGCTGTTTATGCTTTAAAATGTTGACACCTTGAAAAATGTAAAAGCTCCATGTATAAGAATGCATCATACCAAGAATACAATCTAGATTTGCATCTCAGAGCAAACCCCTTCATCATAACTTTTTTAATGATTCAATTTCAAACCAAAATCACAGGAACTGACACTAACTGACAGGTTCAATTTATCATCATAATTCAAAAGTTGAATTTCATAAACTCTCTATGTCATGCTGTTGTCAAGTAACAAAAACCATAAGGGATGCCCAAAAGCTCAAAATTAAATTTCACGTTAGATATTTTTTTACTTCTGTCTTCTCAAGCTTTTGCTTTCCAGCACAAATGATTTATTTGAGCGTTAGCTTCATAGAAAAACATAGTATGGTCCTTGCTATGGCAAGCAATGATTAGACAATATAGGGCTTTCACGAAAAGTGTTTCCAATTGGTGGACGTACTTGTTTTGGCACATAGAGTCTTTTAAATTGTTTTAATTCCTTAGGAAACAGGAACATACATTTTGTACTGCATGTGTTGCATACACCTACAGTATGAATAATGTGAAACCTCACACCACTACTCTAATCAAGTTAAGCAGCAGCTGAAATCTGTGTGGTCAGATATAACGTATGAAATTAATGGTAAAAGCCGTGCTGTGTGAATGAGACTGCAAAATGTCAGATATAGTAGATACTGACCTTGGAGTAATGTGATACAATGTGTAAAAAGTGCAAAACAAAAAAGAAACGCATGTATATAACATGCACCTTAGTGTAAATGTAATTGCTACAAAATATCCATAATGAAAAATCAAATGCACTAAATATTAACTGTGAATCAAAGTGATGCAATGTGCAAAGAATACCAACAAGAAAAACGCATGTGTGTAACTTGCACTCAAGTGAAAATAATAAATGGTTAGAAAATGTCCATGATCCTGGATCTTCAATAGTCCATTAAGTAAATAGAAGATAAAACATTGGATGTAGAATAAACTAAAGGTGCCCATACACTGCACGATTATCGTACGATAATCGTATGCGATCGGTTTTTCGTACGATAATCGAGCAGTGTGAAAGGAGACGTGCGACCGTTTCTACTGTACGGTTGCACGTCTTCTGTCGAACCAGCATGTTCGAAAACCAGCCGGGAATCGTACGATTCTCGGCTGGTTAGAACGGTGCTCAGAAGACAAATGCCGAACGGGCCGGTGTGCGCACGCGCACACTGCCCGTTCAGCATTGCGGTCATCGGAAGCCCGCCCCTCAGGGGGGTGGGCTTGCGATGATCGAGAGTGCGATCTGCCTGTCCAACATAGGCAGATCGTACGTTTTTTTAATCCCTGTACAACCATCGCAAGACTAAAGTCTTGCGATGGTTGTAGAGTGTATGGCCACCTTTAGTCTCCTGTGACCATCAACAGAGAAATGTTCTGGAATGCACCTCACCTTTAGCAGAGACCCACCAGGGTCTGTATGCGCTGTTCCTCTAATTCGAAACAGGTAGAGGAAGCACCTGATGCAGAATACCTCCCAGTGATTACCTCCTCTCAGGTACAGACTCTCTTGCAGTCTCAGGAATTGGAAGCAGACAGTTCATCCGAATGGCCCATGCATCAGATAAAATAAAAAGTGGAGACTCGTAGTGCAGATGGTTTTAAAAGCATACTAGACTTTATTAAAAAAAGGAATACTACTCACATATCATAGATAAAATTGAGATATTTGGTAAGCAGCCACAGACACTGTGTGCAAATCGCTCAGCTCCTCTACTCCACCCTACGTACGTTACGTCAAAGGGCGTGACTTCATCAGGGGTGTGGAGACAGGAGCTTAACCGAGCGCATATATTAAGACCAGTTGTCATGGTAGCCACCATAAACAAATGGCGGCCATGACATTTTCAAAATTAAAACACCATACTGAACATGTTATAACTGAGAGTAACATACAAAAAAGTGATTGACACTGTGGCACTTATTACCCTTCATCCAGCTAAGTGGGTAAAGCATTAAAGCATACAGCACAAGGTAAGTGGAAAATAAGAAATCTAAAACAAATAAAACCAAACTATAAACCACCTCAGTGTGAGTCTGTTAAAGAAGACAGGGTGATACATGAATGGTGAAAGTTTACTAATGCTGTAGTATACCATATTGTTTCCTGTTATTCGTTGCATGTGAAAAAACCTCTAGAAGGAATATTATGAGGGCATCTTCTTCTAGGGGATGATATGAACTGATACTGTCCAGAAAAGTTAAATAAATCCTATACGGTGAATGCAACTGGGTGAGTCCCTATATGAACAGATGTGACCTGTCACAAATCGTGAGCTCTCAAATAATAAGGGGTGAAAAACCCCATATTTAAACAAGATAAAGTGAACTGACAAAGGGATTGTCATCACATATTTCATCACATAAACAATTAAAATATTAAAATATGTAATCTTAAAACCCATGCGATGGCAAGAGTGAGGGTATTGATGAAACCCTTGGGGAGGGGAAAAAAAACAAAACTGAAAAAACAGCAAAGGAATGATGTGAAAGAGGGGGTAAAATTGTGAAAGAGCCACCCATCACATAAGGTGGATAAATCACAACCTATATGGCAAATTATATCTATGACCGCCCATATCAAATCCCAGATGGTCCCTGTTTTGATGAGGAACTCCTCCCCCTTTTTTATGACATCAAGATTTATGTAAACTGAAGCTATAAAAGCAGATATCATACTCCCTCCATTAAAATTCAGACTGAAAATGTATGTATCCGCAATAAAACAGTTCAGGTCGAAAACTATGTTGAGACCTGTGGGGGCTAATGTTGTCTAAAGATACACTCAGATTCCTTTTTGGCCAAACTTCTTTTCCAGTTCCCTCCCCTCCAATTTTTCTTAGCTTGTTCGATACCCCAAAATTGTAAGCTTGCGGGGTTCTTATTATGACATTTTTTAAAATGTAGAGAGACTGAGTGATCTTTGAAACCACCTTTGATGTTGTATACAGTATGTGTTCTCTTACACGAATGGCTAACTTGCGGGTAGTGCGACCAATATATTGTAGGCCACAGGGGCACTGTAACCCATATATGACCCCTTCTGTGTCACATGATATAAAATCTCTAATGTTGTGGGTATCTTTTGTAACCGTTAGCTCAAAACTAGTTCTTTTTCTAGGATTTCCTTTAGTATGCATACATGCATTGCAATGTCTACAAGAATAAAATCCTTTCAAATGAGGGAAAATTAACCCATTTTTATTTTGGACAGGATCTACGACACTTTTAACCACTCTTTCCTTCAAACTGGTGGTCTTCCTGTAAATAAATTTAGGTTTGTCTGGCAAAATGCCCGATAACTGAACATCTAGTTTGAGTACATTCCAATGTTTTTTAATAATTTTTTCTATGTCCTTATACTGGATATTATAATCCATAATAATGGCTCCATTGAACTTATTTTCTTCCTCAAGGGGGGCTTTTTCTGTTCTTTCTGCTAAAATGCAGTTACGGTCCATTCTCGCCACTTTTTGGCATTCTGCATCTAAAAAATCTTCAGTGTACCCTTTCTGTAGGAATCTATTCTTAAGTACTTTAGATTGTTCTTCAAAATGCAAGTCTTTTGTGCAATTACATCGCATCCTTACAAACTGCCCTCTAGGGATATTATATATCCATGATGGATGATGGCAGCTGGAAGTGGGGAGATATCCATTTCTGTCAGTATCTTTGAAAAAAGACTTCACAATTAACTGTTGTTCCTGGAAAAAACTTCAACATCCAAAAAACTTAATTTGTGTTGGTCAATGTGGTATGAGAGACAAATATTTTTAGAATTTCTATTTAGATAGGAGAGGACATTTTCCAATCCACCTCGCTCTCCCTTCCAAACCATGAATATATCATCAATATAGCGTTTATAGATGATCAATTCCCTGGGTTTATTGTCTAAGATTGTCTCCTTCTCCCACTTCCACATAAAGCAAATTGCCACAGGGGGGGCAAATTTAGCCCCTATAGCCACACCAGTCCTTTGTGTGTAGAACTTGTCATCGAACCAAAAATAGTTTCTTTCTAATCCGAACCGCAACGCTTCTAGCAAAAATTATTTTTGTAATTTTGGAATGGTATTATCCATCTCCAACAGCCACTGAACAGAAGATAATGCATCTAGATGATTAATAATAGTGTACAAAGAGGCGACATCTGCTGTAACCAAAAAACAGTGAGAGTCAAAAGGGAGGCCCTCCACAGTTTGAATAAAGTGTTTAGTGTCTCGTAGATATGCCTAGTTTCTCTGGATGAGTGGTTGCAGGAAAATATCAACATATGCCCCATAATCTGTTAGTGACAGACCCTATACCATTTACTATTGGCCTGCCAGGGGGATGATGTAAATTCTTGTGGATCTTTGGTAAATAATAGATGATTGGAATCCTACACTCCAATGGTGCTAAAAATCTACTTTCCTTTTTTGTCAGGATATCACAATTTCGCCCTCTCTTCACTAACCGGTCTAGGTCTCTCTTAAAATTTCTTGTGGGGTCTTTAGATAAAACCTCATATGTGTCCCCATCTGCTAGTAGACGAGCCATTTCGTTCTTATAATCTACTTTATTCAAAATGACGATTGCTCCGCCTTTGTCAGCAGGTCTGACTATGATGTTCTTATCCTTCTCCAGTTCTCTAATCCCTTTATTCAGATGTTGTGGATGTCTAGATGGTTTCAATTTCAGTTTTTCCAAATCTCTGACTATCAAATTTCTAAATACTTCAATATATTTGGTGTTGTGAGGGGCTGGGTTAAATGTTGATTTGTTGGTTAGTGTGGTATGTCTGAATTCACTTTGAGTTTCCAAACTCTTGGGGGGTACTGGGTTCCTTAGAAAATGTTTTTTTATACATAGTTTGCGAGTGAACTTATTAATGGAGATGTAGGTGTCAAACTTGCTAAGGGGCTTATTAGGTGCATATTTAAGGCCCTTGTCAAGCACCAACAGCTCTTCTTTACTAAGGATTGTAGAACTCAAATTAATAATACCTTCCCCTAAAACCTCTTTCTTTTTCCTGTGTTGTCGACCTGATCTACATCCCCTCTTTCTTCCATATTCATTCTGTCTCTTTGTGGTGCCTCTCGTTGCCAGTCCCGTTGGAACCGGGGTTTCCTCCCTAAAAAACCCCTATCTCTATTGGCATCATCTTGGTTCAATGGGGTAAAACGATTACGTGTAGGAATTTCAAAATCAGAATCTCTGTAAATATGGGGAGTCCAATTATTTCGCATCTCATAATCTGGGTCCCATCTATTACTTCTCCCCCTTCCCCCCTGACTCCATGTTGCTCGTGGGGGGTATCTGTTCCAACCTCTTCTCTGACCTCCCCTTGGGGCCAATGGGAAGGATCTCTGCATTCTCCCTCTATGAATGTCCTCATGCCCTTCAGTTGGTGTTTGTCTTACAACATCATGGGCTAGTATAGTATCCCTGGAAGTAATTAGAGGGGCTTTCCCTCTCTCAGGGGATGTATTAGCCGACATTGGCTCACCCTCTTCAGAGATTTTTACTTGCCATTTAAAAACCTGTTTGGCCAAGTAATCATTTTTATCCCGATTATATTTTTTGCTTTTAATATTTCTCACTTCCTGGTCTGTTTGTTGAAGGGAATCTTTTAATTCATTAGATGCCACAAGGTAATCCCTATTTTCCTGTAAGGGGTTAAACTTTCCCCTTAATTCTTCTATCTCCCCATTTAATTTGCCAAGTTTCCTTTGTTTCCTTTTCCTTAGTAACTTAAGCAACTCTAAACCACTATTATTAAAAAACAAAAACCATTCCTCCATGGATTCATTGTCTGAAAGACCATCATTAGGTGGTACATCCCACCTCAAGCGTCTGGGAACAATTCCTTCTGCTAGATATTTTTCAATTGTTGCACAATCCCACCATAATTTTATCTTCTTTTCCATCTTATGTTTTAATTTTCTCAGGCAAAAATTCATGTCATTAAACTTTTTTTGTTCAGTGTAACCAAAAACTTCCTCTAAATTAACTGTTCTATTTTACATATAATCAAAAATATCCATAGTGGCTGAAAAGTGATATCAAAATAGAATGATACAAAAGTGAATAATGTGAAACCTCGCGCCACTACTCTAATCAAGTTAAGCAGCAGCTGAAATCTATGTGTTCAGTTATAACGTATGAAATTAATGGTAAAAGCTGCGCTGTGTGAATGAGACTGCAAAGTGCCAGATATGTGATGAAATATGTGATGACAATCCCTTTGTCAGTTCACTTTATCTTGTTTAAATATGGGGGTTTTCACCCCTTATTATTTGGGAGCTCATGGTTTGTGACAGGTCACATCTGTTCATATAGGGACTCACCCAGTTGCATTCACCGTATAGGATTTATTTAACTTTTCTGGACAGGATCAGTTCATATCATCCCCTAGAAGAAGATGCCCTCATAATATTCCTTCTAGAGCTTTTTTCACATGGCATGCAATGAATAACAGGAAACAATATGGTATACTACAGCATTAGTAAACTTTCACCATTCATGTATCACCCTGTCTTCTTTAACAGACTCACACAGAGGTGGTTTATAGTTTTGGTTTTATTTGTTTTAGATTTCTTATTTTCCACTTACCTTGTGCTGTATGCTTTAATGCTTTACCCACTTAGCTGGATGAAGGGTAATAAGTGCCACAGTGTCAATCACTTTTTTGTATGTTACTCTCAGTTATAACATGTTCAGTATGGTGTTTTAATTTTGAAAATGTCATGGCCGCCATTTGTTTATGGTGGCTACCATGACAACTGGTCTTAATATATGCGCTCGGTTAAGCTCCTGTCTCCACACCCCTGATGAAGTCACGCCCTTTGACGTAACGTACGTAGGGTGGAGTAGAGGAGCTGAGCGATTTGCACACAGTGTCTGTTGCTGCTTACCAAATACCTCAATTTTATCTATGATATGTGAGTAGTATTCCTTTTTTTAATAAAGTCTAGTATGCTTTTAAAACCATCTGCACTATGAGTCTCCACTTTTTTATTTTATCTGATGCAAGGGCCATTCGGATGAACTGTCTGCTTCCAATTCCTGAGACTGCAAGAGAGTCTGTACCTGAGAGGAGGTAATCACTGGGAGGTATTCGGCATCAGGTGCTTCCTCTACCTGTTTCGAATTAGAGGAACAGCGCATACAGACCCTGGTGGGTCTCTGCTAAAGGTGAGGTGCATTCCAGAAGATTTCTCTGTTGATGGTCACAGGAGACTAA